AGTGTCAGATCATTCTTATCTACTGGTAGTGCAATTATTTTTATACCCTACACCACATAGTGGTAAGGGTATTATGTCTTTGTGCATTTGTTTGTAACATGGAGAAGGAAGCCAGATAGACCCATAGTTACTTTTGAGGATCTCCATAGAATCACTTTCTGAGTTGATTTATGCATGTCAGTCCGTCCGTCCGTCTGTTCATGTATTCTTGTGAACAAAATGCTGGTCGCATTTATTATCCGAACCCTATTGAAATTGGAGATAATCGGTAAAAAATTAGATATAGCTCTCATATATATCTTCGTCCGATTTGCCTTTTATTGTGCACCAAACGTGTAATATCAGCCCGAATAATATGGAATTTTGCACATACAACCAAATTATGCCTGAAAATAAGTATGCCTAATTTGATCGAAATCGGTTCAGATAAAGCTATAGCTCCCATATATATTGTTCATCCGATTTGTTATTTTTGTCCTCCGCAGCCGTAATATGCACTCTGTAACAACAATATTTGGGGAAATATATCAAATGCAGCTCAGAAATACCATTGCTAAATTTTATCGAGATCGGTTCAGATTTGGATATAGCTCCCATATATAACTTTTTCCGATTTAGCTTTTATTGTACACCAAACGTCTAATATTTGCCCAAATGGGATTGAATTTGGCACTTACAACCGAATTGAGCCTAGAAGCAAGTATGCCAAATTTCGTGAAGACCGGTTCAGATATAGCTATAGCTCTCATATATATTGTTCATTCGATTTGTTGTATTTGTTACCCACAGCCATAATATGCACTCCGTAACAACGATATTCAGGGAAATATATCAGAAATATCTTTGCCAAATTTTATCGAGATCGGCTCAGATTTGGATATAGCTCCCATATATATCTTTATCTGATTTCAAATTAATTTTTTCACCAAATGGTCCGAATTTAAAAGATACAAATGGTTCGGCATATTTAGTCCTTTGAACTTTAAATTACAATTATAATTGTTTAGCTCAGAGGGGCTCCGCCAATGGGAGTGAAACGCCGAATGCGTCGAGCAGTGGACCGTAGGGGGGTATGTAAGAAGATAAATAAAACACAAAGGTTTTCTTAGTATTAAATCAAACTATTTATTCTTAGTTTGGTAGGTGGGTAACAATATTACCTTTGGCAACAATATGCCTCACTATGCACAACGATATGTGCTGCAAACGATATTGCGGGTGTTGTCTGTCCGAATGACAGCGAAATACTACTTGATGTCTAAAGGAGGCGGCAAACAAGTGACAAGTGATTAGTAGTTAAAATGTCAAAGGCGCTAGCACAAGGTTGCAATAAACCGTAGCGCGTACATTTTAACGACTAATTAATGACCAAACCAGGGGTCAATAAATAGCAATATTTTATGCAATTCTAAATTAAACATGCCGACCCCCTTGAAACATCAAAGCATGTTTCAACACAATTAACTTAATCTATATTAGTTCCAGTAGTAGGTACGGGTTGTATAGTGCAGTGTGAGCTTTTTTTTTCGAACTAAATGTAGGGAATGGAAACGCAGATGAATCGGCAGTAACAGATTCGGGATCCATCTCCGCTACAACGATAATATGAAGCCGCAGATGAATCTGCAGTAACAGATTCGAACTTCAATCAAGCATATTATTACACGAAATGTAATATTTTGAAGCCGCAGATGAACCTGCAGTTACAGATTCGGACTTCAATCGAGCTACGTGTTTCCCGAAACGATATTCGAGGGGGGTTCCAATTGAGACCCTGTGCCAATGTCGGTATATACATTGCCAGTTGTCGCGAGACCGATTTTATGTGAAGGTCGTTTTACAACATTGCTTACAAATGTACATTTTGTTGACTGATTACTTTCCGATAAATTCATTTTTATAAACTTAATAAGGTTCTTTTTGGACATTTTGTACAGCGATTTCGAACGAACAAAATTAGATTTAGGATTTTCGACTCCAACCGATGTAGAGGATGTATATTTTGAGGGACGAAAAACTGGGGCTGCAGCTGACAACAACGATTTTGACGAGCTTGCCTGAGCTTTTGGAGTCAGAACCGGAAACGAACTATTCGGTTTTAATGACTCGCGATGTAGTAACGTATGATGACGTTGACCACATTTCCAACAACTATTTTTACTAGTACAATTTACTAGTTTATGTCCCTTTACCAAACAATTTATACAATGTTCGTGGCGCTTGACGAATGCAAACCTTTTTGCGGGAGATAATTCCTTAAATGTTGAGCACAAATGAAGGCGATGGGTTTTCTTATGACAAAGACGACACGATTTTCCAATAGAAGGGGGAGACGAACATTTAGATTTGGACTTTCTAGCGGTGTCAAGCGAATTTGAATCCTGCAAAGGAATGGATTTCTCTCCATAATTTTCCAAACACACAAGCGTGTTTATCCGCTCTAAAAGAAATGTGTCTAAATCTTTCCACGAAGAAAGAGCCGATTTGTTTTTGATACCTTGTTCCCACAGCAGTGTCGTTTCTTCCGGTAAGCGTTGCAGGCAAAGAAAGACAAGTATCGGATCCCATTGATCCGTGGGAACGTTATGAGTCGACATGGAGGAGATACAACGATTAATTCCAACTCTAATCTCTTTCAAACCAGAGATTGTTTCCTTATCTAGAATTGGAAGACTAAATAACGAAGACAACTGACGATGTACCAATATACGAGTATTGTCATACTCATCATTTAATGCTTTCCAAGCGAAAGCGAAACCACGATTTGTTAAAGGAAATTGGGAAACTATTTCCCTTGCATCACCAGTAGTCTTTTGCAGCAAGTAATACAGGCGCTGCACATCACTCAAGCGATAGTTATTTATAAAAATTGCACTAAACAAATCCCGAAAGGAAGGCCAAGAAGAAAAATCTCCTTTAAAATTTTCAATATCAATTGTGGGCAATGTCATATTGTGAACGATATCACAACCAGAAGAAATACTTGCGGCAATATTTTCCTGCGATTCAGGAACCAAAAGAGATTGAGCCGATTGCTCTTGATTTTTATCCGCGTTTTTAATCAAATTTTTTAATACACAACGAGTTTTTAAAATTTTTCTATTAATTGTGGCCATAGTGCTTGAATACATGTTTAAAGAAGCGTTGTGTTTATTTTCTGCCAAATGCAGATGTTCTTTTGTTATATTTTCCGAATTTTCTAAGATACGCAACGATTTATTTACCGATTGCCATAGTTTTTCTAACTTGCTCTTCCTTTCCTCTAAATAACTAATATCTATACCATCATCTACTGCACCGATTTGTGCACCAAATTCTATCAGAGCGTCTGAGTCTCTTATGAAATTTTGTAGAGGAGCGAAGGCCATAATTATCACAAAAAAACACTGAACCAATTTGGGGAAAAATTCAAAAATAAATAAAATAACTATTTTATTTTTATTTACTTAATTTTCCAGAATTACCGTCTATAGGTTGTATTAATTTTTAAATTTCCAAAACAACAACAAAAGAATAAAATTAACTAAATTATTTTATTTTAGTTGCAACTTTCCGATGTCCTATAACGAACAATGTAACTAACAAAAGTGACCGACCAACGTGGTGTAGCTACTCAACCTAAACGGACACGACAGAAAGAGGAATCAACAAAAATATTCTTCCTTCGTTTGTTATGTTCGTTCACTGATCTAACAATGCACAAACAACAAGTGCTGATTAGAGAACGACGACAAAGCAAGCAAACAGCGGTGGGGGTTCAAACAGTGTTGTTGTTGTTTGCGACAAACAAAACAGAAAATGAATTTGACTGTTGTTACAAGGAGAAAAAGAGAATAAATGTAACAACAACAATATGCAATATTAAAGCGGACAGACCAAACAAAAAGAATAATATTGCGGTCTTTGCTTTACGTAGTAAAGCACACCAAACTAAGAAATAACGTGTTTGTTGGTATCAACGAAACGAGATGTTTAATGTTTTGTTGTTTTAAATGAACCAAAACAAAAAGAATATTAGCAAACGATTTTTGCAATAATTTTCTTTTGGAGTTTTGTTTTGATTATGATGCTGCCGAATGCAAGCATCCAAAATAGAAGCCGACGATTGGCGGGCAACAAAACAAGAGGCAAAGAGGTGACGTTGTAAAACGACCTTTGTACCTAAACAAAACCGAATGTTTTGTTATTGTCGCGGCAATTTAAAAACGCGAGCTCACTTAAAAACACTGCACTATACGTACCTTGTAATGCAGGAGTAATGGACTGTATCTTTTGGGTTCCAAATGCGTTCAAGAGGGCTGGAATATCCGGTTCGATTGGACCAATGTTTAGCTCAGAGGGGCTCCGCCAATGGGAGTGAAACGCCGAATGCGTCGAGCAGTGGACCGTAGGGGGGTATGTAAAAAGAAGATAAATAAAACACAAAGGTTTTCTTAGTATTAAATCAAACTATTTATTCTTAGTTTGGTAGGTGGGTAACAATATTACCTTTGGCAACAATATGCCTCACTATGCACAACGATATGTGCTGCAAACGATATTGCGGGTGTTGTCTGTCCGAATGACAGCGAAATACTACTTGATGTCTAAAGGAGGCGGCAAACAAGTGACAAGTGATTAGTAGTTAAAATGTCAAAGGCGCTAGCACAAGGTTGCAATAAACCGTAGCGCGTACATTTTAACGACTAATTAATGACCAAACCAGGGGTCAATAAATAGCAATATTTTATGCAATTCTAAATTAAACAATAATCATAGCGTGTATGATTGAATTCTCACATAAAAACTTTCAATTGTTATGTGAAGCTCTACTAAATTAGCAATGTGGTGTAGGGTATCATAAAGTCGGCCCGCCCGACTTTCGGACTTTCTTTACTGGTTTAAAATTATTTCAGCGACATTTTGGGAGGTATTTGTCCACAGTTCAAAAATCACAATTTTCACTTTGCCAATTGATATTAAAATTAATCATATTCTTAATTAAAATTAATCATACTCACCATGGCTAATAACTGAATCGATTCAATCACAACGTATCCAAAACGAATTTATTATTTCTGTTATCTTAAATTGCAAGTTTCGATTTCTTTTGTTATTGACGCGCCAATAAATATCTTTGAAGTTTGTTTCTTTTGTAATTATATGTATTTGTTTTGAAATCGTATATAAGCCTATTAATTGCCAAGTAATTAAAGAAAACTTTCCGAGTCGTTGTATCACTGCTCAAGAATATTGTTGTGGCGGTAATTGTTGTTGTTTTCACTCACAGACTGTGTCAACATAAACAAAACAAGGCAACAAAAAATGTAAACAAAACACAAGAAGAAATGAAGTAGACGCGGATTTACAAAGCACACGCGTTTACGATGTAGTCATGTTTATACACTGTTTAAAGGGGACGCGTTTGAATGGTATAGAAGTTACACCGGAAGAGTCAGGCTGAAGATACACAATAGGATACGTACACCAACACACACACATGTGTATGCAGTGTCTGCCGAACACACAATGAAAGCGGCATGCACAAATTGACTTGCAAAATGATGAACCGTTATTTGCTTAGCACGTGTCGAACGAATACACAACCTTGAGCGATGCTAAACTTCTTTCAAATTTTTGGGTGCACATGTATTCTTTTGGTAACGCCACAATTGTTTCAGAAACCTTTTATTTTCAGTATTTTACAATTCAATTTTTTCTATGGTTCACAATTTTTTGACAATTGTTTCAAATAGTTTTTTTTTCAATATTTTTTTTTTTAATTTTTCTCCACAAACATTACAAATCCATTTTCTTCAAAGAATAAAAGTAGTTTTTCCAGTTTTATATTTCCTTTGCCGTTTTATTTTCCGCAACACATAACCGGCTGTGTCGACGTTTGCAACGCGACTGAATGCGTCTATTGGAATTTCCTCCGGTTCGCAATGTTGTGGCTCTGTGCAAAATCTTGTTTATTCACCGAAAACGCACAAACACACCCACCAACAACAGACAACATACAACAGTTATACGCACCCGATTGGCACAGAGAGCCTGCATTTGTTGTCGTTTCGTAAAACCGACCTACCCTCACTCGACGCTATCAGACAGTTCGACCAGCAGCAGTGGCAGCGGCAGCAGTCGCAACAAAAGCAGCAACATTGCCTGCTTCGATGTTTACACAGTTGTTTATTTCAATCACTCATCTAGTTTACATACATTCAGATATCCTCGCCTCCTACCCATTTACCTCTTGCATTCGAATATCGTCGGAACTTGGTATTGTTTCGGGGTATTCTCTCAGAGAATATATTCGACACACCAAACACTTGCTCTACCGCCTTTTTATTATTTTGTTCGTACGTTTTGTATCGCTTGGGAATTGAGTGTGTTTGGATCGAACAGACCAAATGAAAATAAGAAGTGAAATATACGATGGAAACCCGGCGAATATTGCCCAGACCGATTTATCCGATTGAACGTGTTGCCGTTACCACGTTCAGTGGTTGTATGATTCACACGAGGAATTCCAATCGGCAAGAGTTGCGACTGCATTGCCAAGTGTTGACCGTAAGTGTTGTCAAATTGACGCGAGAAGAAAAGCTGAAAAAAGGAAGAAACTATTGCTGTTTAAATTAATTAACGTTTCAATTTATACGAGGTTCCATTTGGGAAGAAGCTGTGGCTAATTTTTTTTTTCAAATTCTATATTTTTAGAAAAATCCCATGGATCTCTCAATTGCAAATCCATAACAAGTCTCAGAAAGAAAACAAGCCAATAAACAATTCATACGAACATAAAAATCTTGGGGAGCATTCTCCAACTGCTTATGGCGTCTACACTGAACTTGGTCTACCATAGCATTGTACAGGGTGAATTGGATATGAAAAATGGGCGCCCAATCGAACATACATGTGATACCTATAACAGAGATATTAAAGGCAATGTACCTATAACAGAGAGATTAGAGGTAATCATGACAAATTGGTTAAAAATGATCTAGACGTCTGACCCACCCAGATTTATCAAACAAAACTGTGTTTCTAATAATAGTAACATTACATTACAGATCATTCCGACATTCTTGTCATGACCCTGGTTTACCAGAGCTCTGTATAGGGTACATTGCACAACTTAGCATTGGCGCCCAATCAAACAAAAGTGAGATACTTAAAACATGGATGTTAAAGGCAATTCTGACACATCGGTTAGCCATTTGTCCTGACCCTGAGCTATGAACAGGACGTATTATGAGACGCATTGGCGCCCAATCAAACACACTTCACTATATTCCTAAAATAGATAATACTGCAGTTCAAAAGAGGAAGTTTCTTGCAGAGAAACTAAGTCAACTTATCCTTTTGGAATTCGGAACTAATTGCAAAATACTCAAGCTCCTTAATTTCACATACCCTTGTAAAAAAATCTAACAAAACTGAGAAAAAAAGCCGATCAACAATTTATCCCTATAGAAACCTTATTTGTCAGAACTCTAAACATCCGAATAAATGCTTTAATATATATTATATAGTTAGATTTAAGGCAATTAACCTATATGAGTATGAAGATGGAATTCATAAAATGACCGCTGGCTAAAAAATAAAGTAAAAATCGCGTAAGTTTGGCCTGGCCGAATTTTTAATACCATCTACTTCTTAGAAGGAACTTGAAAATTATAATAAAATAAATTTAAAAAATACCGTTTACATAAAAACCCTTATATGGGGACTATAAGAAGACGAGGACCTCTTTGGCAAACATTACCTCCGATTTTCGGTGTTTTTAGAGTTACTTCCACACTATCCAACCAAATAAGCTGAAACATTACATTTTGGGCTCTTGGTAGGTCTTTTCTCTCCCTGCACAAAATATTCGCTACACGTCCACTAATTGGTAAAGCTCCCATATAACGGCACTTTCCGATTACTGGTATTTTGAAGATTTCTTCACACAATTTCCAACCAAATTACCTGAAACTTGATAACTGGGGTTCTTGGTAGCTCTATATTCCCCCCACAGGGTTTAATTAAGGTCCACTAATTGGTGTAACTCCCATATAACGGTACCTCCCATATTCCATATCAGATTATAATATTGGTTTCGCTATTTGGGTAGTTTTTATACCCTTAGTCATATGGCTACAGAGGGTATATGTTATTTGATACGACCAAAACGTTTTAGGCCCTAGGTCACTTTGGACCAAATCCGTTTCATGAAGTTTGGAGTCAATCTAGGGGTGTCCGTGCATCCGTCTGTCTGGCTCACGATAACTTTCCAAACTTGGTACACCGCAATATTATTGTCTAACTTAGATCGAGTTCGGAGATGGGCAATATCGGTTCACTCCTTCTTCAAGGAAGCATCATCTAATTTTGTGTAAACTTTACATACCCCAATATTTGCGTCAGTGCTCTATAGGTTTACTCTATCAGGTACATCCCCCACAATAACTCAGAATTTTATGAAATTTGAATAACCATAGCTCTTATAATAAGAGTTCGATTGTTTTCGAGTTTCTCGCATACCAATAGATCCCCCAACACAAGCTCAGGTGTGAAGACGGAATATATCTGGTACCTCCTCCATAACGGCTCAATATTTTAAATAATTATATTTTTCTTAAAATGTGAAATAACATCCGTATCATTCTAAACTTCACACATCCCAAAATTTACACTTACAGAAGATATGATGTAAAGATGGTAGATATCGACCCACTCCTTCTGGTACCTCCCCCACAGCGGGTCAAAACTTTGAATAAACTTGTAGCTCATAAAACGGGAAATAATCATCCGATTCTATTTAAACTTGGCACATTGGCCACTCAATCAAGTACATCCCCCACAAAGCGTCGAAATTTTGAATAATTATAACTCTTTTAAAATGTGACATAAAAGTCCGATTGCATTGGAGTTCGCACATCTCAATATTTCTATCAACACAAGATCTGGTGTAAATATGGAATATATCTAACCACTACTCCTGGTACCTCTCCCACAAACGGCCATCAAGTCAGCAATTCTCTTTAAACTAATTATTCCATATTTGATTGAGAGGTTGTAAGATGCACTGCGTTCCGCAAAGTGACAAAACCCTTCTTAGTTAGTCCAAGACTGGTGCCCAACTACAAAAACTTGCTGCTTTGCAGCAATTTTTTGACAGTATCTTATTTAGAGGATGTTATCATAAGTGGTGTTATATCGAAACATAAACCGATGTAGGCTACCATCCATTTAAAAACCGCTAAATTGTTAATATCGTTCCCCTCTACAAATATTGTTCGCAAACAAACAAAATGCGTTCTCTCTCTCAGCAACTAATCCCTCTCCTTCAATCGTAAAAAAAAACAAAAAACGAAAACAAGTTAATGCAGTTTATCGCCAAAGAGCGGGCAGTTAACAGAACGCATGCGCTTTGCATGGTTCGGCACAAGTGTTATTTCTGAAAAACAGCTGTTTTTGTCACTTGCTTGTTGGTTCCTCTTCCGCTTGTCAACAACATGCAGCAGGCCCATCCATGTTAAAGAGTCTGTAACGACAACAACAGCAACAACGTCGTCAACGACGACACTATAATTACCAATTACCCAATACAAGCTGTGTGTGTTCCGAACAAAAGAAATGAAACAATACCTCAACACCAAAGACGTCAGCTACACATTTATGCGGAGCAGTGGCAACCAACAACAAGAATAACAACATTATTATGGTTGGAGGATGTAGCCCCAACAAATGGTTGGACTCGAACGTTGGTGGCAAAGAAACAAAAGGAATGTTGGACACCTTTCACATTCTTCTTGGCTCCTGGTACTTCCCATACATGTGCATGTTTTTTCAAACAAAGTTGTTGTACAGAGGATGAATAGACACAACAACAAATCAATTTGTTGTTGTTATAGACAGGAGTTGGTTGGTTGTGTGTGGACAACTGAGTGCGTCGTGTACGGACGGATGGATGTATAAATGTCAACAGAGAACAAGAGGACTGAATGCTTGCTTAGTTATCGGGTATGAACGATGTGAGTGAGCAAACAATTTGCTCGAACGACGACATCGTTGTCGTATTAGTTTTTGTGTCGTCGTCGTCGCCGCAGTTGTTATCGCATCTCAAACATTTGTTTGCACTTCTTATTAGACAACGTTGCCAAATGGTGGTCCTGCATGAACACCAGGCAGACCATCATTCATGTTGGTGCTGATGTTGTTTGGTCAATTACCTTCTTCCTTTCCAAACCATTTTTAGCCGGAGATAATCTTTATTTGAAACGGCCAGTGCCAGTTCACTGTAGATAACAGTTGGCATTTTAAGCCTTTAGCCAAACTGGATATTGTTTGATTAAATGCATCAACGTGTAGTTCTGATGTGTAGGTGGGTGTCTAATCCATTGATGGCTGGCATTTAAATTGTAAGGAATTTGGAATTCTAACTGAAGGGATACTGGAGACAAACATGAGTGGCACAATATTTTTCCCTGCGTTTTGAGAAGAGTCTAGACTATTCCAAAGGAAGAGGAATATTTTTCAAAATAAACCAATTAGGAAAAATCTAAAGACGGGCGGGGCCGACTATATGATGCCTTACACCACAATGCATGTTTAGTAGAACTCCCATAACAAAAGAATTGATTTGAAGTAGATCGTACCACCTACCAACATTTGGCTTAAGAGTAGTTATGGTTTGATTTCAGAGGGAACTACTATATGGGAGGCATATCTGAATTCTTAATCGATTTTCAATAAATTTGACGGAGACATTTTAATATTTTATACCAAATAACATTGCTCTGGAGTGCATGATATCACTTCGAAAAGGATTTTATTAAAAATATATATATCGGAGGCGAGTTTCACAAAATGGAAACGTACGTCCCAAAATTCATTCCATTTGATATTAGCCATTATTTACACAATAAACCTGAAATCGTATTAATGATATATATGGGAGCTAAATTCAAATATTAGCCAATCTCGATAAAAATTGGCAATGGTATATCCGACCTTTATATCGAATATCATTGTTGTTGAATGCATATTACGAATGTGAGGGCCCTAAACACCAAATCAGATAAAATATGCATATTGAAGATATAGCTATATCTGAACCGATGTCACCAAATTTGATGTACTTGCTGCTACACTGAATTCGGTCGGATGTGCCAAAATTCAGGTCATTTGGACAGATATTGGACATTTCGTGGACAATTAACCCAAAATCGGTTGAAGATATATATGGGAGCTATAGCCAAATCTGAACCGATCTTGACAAAATTTCAAACACCTATTTCAGAGCTGTATCTGATATCTGGTACCAAAGATCATTGTTGTGGAATGTATATTACGCTTGTGAGGGACTTCAAACCCCAAATCTGATAAAACATATATATAAGTGCTATAGCTATATCCAATCAGCTGTTCTGCAAATCTAAAGTACGGTGTTACAGGGTGAGATAAAAAAACCGCAACAAACTTTAGACTGCTGTCATTTCTAAACCACTCGTCCGACAGCCGTTAAA